ATGTTACTTTTTTCATATGAATCATGTTCATGTGAATTTTGTTACAGTAAGTTGTCCCTGATAATCCACCATGAAGTGATTCTTGCCTCTCCTCACAACTTTTTGATATGGGGTTTGAAAAATGTTGATTTCGCAAAAAAATCACTTTGGTTGTTCTTCAGTTAGTTAGTTGTTATTCAAATCTAAAGGTGACATATCATGAAAATCTGACTTTTCCAGGTTTTAAGTGCTATAATCAGGTCCCCAGTGCATCTACCAACCAAGGAAACGTGAAAAAGTTTAACCCAGTAACTTTGTTTTGGTAAGCCTTTTTCTGCAAGCGTCTGAGAAAACTAGTGCGTCTGATTTCGCTCCCTTGGTGACGTGGCAAAGGGATCTCATTATAATATTACCGCCCCTTAATCTGTAAGTTTAGGGGCATAATATGTCTCCTTTAAGATTATACTATTGCCACCATCATGGATACATTTAAAAAGTGAGGGAAAGGACATGAAGTTAAGAGTCTCATGAAGCCATATGAGTGAGAGAGAGAGAGCATGGCAGGTGTTGCATAGGTGTTTCTTTGTGTGTTGCAGGAATTATATGAATGATGCCCTCAGAACCAATGTGTTTGTGCAGTTTGAACCTGAGACCATTGCGTGTGCCTGTATTTACCTCGCTGCTCGAGTACTACAGGTACGTCTTTGGATTTATCTGTCTATATTTATCTATTTCATTCTTTTTTTTTTTTTTCATTAGGTATTTTTCTATTTCTTCAGATTCCTCTTCCTTCCAAGCCGTACTGGTATCTTGTTTTTGGTGCTACTAAGGAGGACATCAAAGAAATATGTATCAGCACGATGAAGCTTTATTCTAGAGAAAAGGTAGAGTTTGTTTATTTGCTTGGCACATTACTTTGACAATCTCTATTTCTACTAATTGTTGTTACTTCATGCTGTTGTTAATACTCAATCCATCTCTCAGCCTAACAGCGAACAGCTTGAAAAACAGGTGGAAAAGAGGAAGGTGGCCCTGGAGGAGGCAAGACTAAAAGCCAAAGGACAGAATCCCAATGGCACGCCAGCTCTCGCTGCCATTGGTGGATTTTCCCCATCATCAAAACCCTGTACGTTTTTGTTTGTTTGCTTTTACTTACTAAGCAAGCTATTTGCAAGTACTTGTCAATTCACAGGCAGCTAAAATGTTTTCCTTTTCCAGCTTCTCCACGAGAAGTGAAGGTGGAAGAAAAATCGCCAAACTCTAAACTAGTAAAGGAGTCTGAGAACAGACAGTTGTTTCCAAAAAGCCCCTTAAATGGGTAAGTTTTAAAATACAGCACCTAAACCAAATTTTTTTTTTATTTGTGCCGGGCAGTGTGACTCTATTAGTGTTGTCAAAAGTACCGACCACGATACCAGTCGGTACTGAAATATAAAAAAACGTCTATTTCCTGCTAACATTTGTGTTCATGCACTCAACAGATATGACTGTGATTGGCTATAATGATCATCGCTTCACGCTCTTCACCGAGCGCTTGCACAGAAGTGTTCGAAATCCAGGTCTGTCAGCGGGTCCCTAATGTATCTGCACATAGACAGATCCACTGACAGACGCGGCTTGCATTGTAAAAAATCGCGATCGGTACTTTTGACAACACTAGACTGTATATACTGTGTGAAATGTGGGTATACCAAACAATAGATTTGTCTTTTGATAAGAGATGGTTATATCAGTTATACTTGTATGTCAACATTTTTTTTTATTCTGAAATGATTCCTGTTTTTTTAACTGTTGTATTAAAGCTGTTTCTGTACTGATGCCAAATTCCATCATTCACGAAGAATTTTACCATTTTGGGGTAAAAAAAAACAAAAACGAGGTCCCTTTTCACTTTTGAATGTAAAGTTGTTTATTGCTACAACTTTCTGGTAAATTTCAAACAAAAACAACTAAAAACAACAAAAAAAACGAGTGCGTCTGAGGTTTAGTACTCCCATGCTGTGACAGCCGCTTTCTGTCCTTGTGCTTCGGTTGTGTGCGCTCAGAAAACCGTATATCAGAAGTTTAAACTAATAAAAAAACGAGGTACCTTTTCACTTTTGAATGTAAAGTTGTTTATTGCTACAACTTTCTGGTAAATTTCAAACAAAAACAACTAAAAACAACAAAAAAAACGAGTGCGTCTGATTTCGCTCCCTTGGTGACGTGGCAAAGGGATCTCATTA